TGAGAACACAGGGGGGAGGTGCAGAGGGAGGAGAGAGAGTCTCAAGCAGACTCTGCTCTAGGTGTGGAGCCTGATGTGGGTCTCGATCCCAGAACCCTGAGATCATGACCTGAGCCAAAACCAAGAGTCAGACACTTAACCAACGGTGCCACCCAGGCACCCCTCTATGTATATTTAGATACACTCATCCATTCAACAAATACACAGTGCCAACTGTGTCAGGTGAAGTTGTAGGTACGAGGAATACAAGCAGGAGCAAAATAATAAAAAAGTTCTGCTTTCGTGGAACTTAAATTCTGTTGGAGTGAGACAAATCATACCAAATAAGTAAGTAAAACAGTACCTTAAATAGTGATAACTGTCTGTGGTGGGTGGTCAGGATCAGACTGCAGTTTTATATGGGGTGATCAAGGAAAGCTTGCTACAAAGGTGGTGTTTCACCAAATGCAGTGAAGGGAGCAACCACGTGGCTCTCTGGGGTGGAAGTGGTCCATTTATAGGGGACGACAAGGACAGAGGCCCTAAGGTAAGATCTTGCCTGGTATGTTGGAGCCCAGAATGGTTGGAAGGCCAATAGCTAGAAAGCAATGAATGGGAAGAAGGAGAAGCAGGAAACTGAGATGTAGCTTGGTCAGTGCAAATACTGTAGGACTTTGTAGGCCATTGTAAATGCAGACTTTGGCTTCTACTCTGAGTAGAAAAGGGACACCAGCAGAAGGTTTTAAGCAGAAGAATGACATGACATTTTAGCAGATGTAGGTGTATCCTTGACAAACACATAGCATTTTGGGGCTGTTCTTAACATGCGTATAAATGGCATTGTGCCATACACATACTTTTGCTTTTCCTAGGTAACGTTGTTTCTGAAATCTACCCATGTTGCTATCTGTAAATCTACTTTATTATTTCCGACTGCTGTGAGTTACTTCCTCGTGTATGTATAGCACATTTTATTTATAAATTCCTCTAGTAACAGATGCTGGCATAGCTTCCAACCTCTAGTGACCACAGTCTTGTGACGAACGTGCTCATTTGAGTCTCCTTATGGACTCAGGAGAGAGTTTCCTTGGGGTAGGTACCCAGGAGAGGGGTTGTGGGGTGGGAAGGTGTGTGCATTGTTAATTCCACTAAGACTGTGCTTCGAGATGGTGCCATCAGTGACACTCCCAGTAACAGCTTGTGATTGTTTGTCTCTTCTCATTGAATTCCCATATTGATCCAGTAAGGAAAGTGAAGTAAGATTCCTTAAGGACAGGGATACTGAGGTTTAGAGAGATTGAGCAAATTACCCGAGATTATATAGTTATGTGAAAGAGCCAGGGCTCAAATCCGAAATTTTTGACATAATGTTCTTCGCTCTTGCCACTTTGTATCCAGCACTGCTTCTTCTGGGAATAAGATGAGGCATCTGTGGACAAAGATAGTATTATAATTATTGTATTTGAACCTTGTATTTTTCTTTTCTTTTTTGACCTCTGTTTTTATTTTTCAGTAGGCTCCCTGCCCAAAGTGGGGCTTGAACTCACAACCCCCAGACCAAGAGTCAGAGACCTACTCAATGAGCCAGGCAGGTGCCCCAAGCCTTGCATTTTTCAATGCTTGGTCTAACTCAGTCAGCCTAGGACTGCAGAGTGTTTAGCACCAACATGTATGAGGGTGTCTAATTAGAGTCCTTAGAATTTCAAAGCGAATTATATGAAAAAAAAAAAAAAAAAACAGTTTTCATTTTTCTCATGACGGCTAGCTAACAAGTTTGAATTTCAGTGCATGATTTTGAGACTGGACATTTATAAAGATTAATTGCTTTTCAAAGTTTGGGGACTTTGGATCAGATGTTAACATTAAATATTAGGTAGATTATATTATTTGCATATGGTTACCAGGCACTGAGCTGAGTACTTCCCAAGCATCATTTCACTTACTCCTCACAACAACCCTATGAGCTATTTACTTTTACTCCCATTTGTGGAAACGAAAGCACTGAGAGGGGAACTAATTTGTCCACAGGTTGAGTTGTGATTTGAAGCTGAACAGTCTACCTGCACAGCCTTTACCCCTAATTACTAAACTGGGCTTTCTTCTTGTGAAGGAAGCTTTTAGAACATCTTGCCTTTGAAAGGTAGGACAATTTCTTGTCAGTTGGGGTGGCTTAGACCAGTCCTGGGAAGTGAGGGGGTAGGTGGACAAGAATCTCCAGAGGGAAAGGATCTAAGTTTGAAAATGTTCCCCAGGTGTCTTCATTAGGCCTCCTTCTGTCCCTCGAGGTGAGCACCTTTGCCTTAGGGCATCCTGCCTAGATGATAGGTCCTGGACATGATGCCTTCGAAAAAGTGGGAATTCTCTATCTGGGTGTGGGTGGCTGGTTGCTTATAACCCAAGGTCGCCCGATATTTTTAAAACAAACGTCCTCAAAGACAAACAATTCTTTATCACCTCTGTGTGGCTTATACCTGCCCTGAATGATCTGTGGTCAAGGTTTTATCACAGTTTGTTTTCCCTCTACACTTTCCATTTTGATTGCCTTCTACAAGGAAGGTAACACCATTTATATATTTACCTGAGTCAGGTTTATAAAGGTGCTTGGTTACAAGGTTTGTATCTCAAGGTCAAGTAGATGGGAATTCTGGATTATGTGCTCTTTCAGGTTTCTCTCCTCAGTTTGTACATTTGTTCAACAAATATTTATTGAGCACCTAACTCGCAGGAGGAGACAGGCAGCTGAACTGGGTTTTTAAAAAAAGATTTTATGTATTTATATGAGAGAGGGAGAAAGAGAGAGAGCAAGCAGGGGGAGGGGGAGGGGGAGAGGGAGAGAATATCAAGCAGATTCCCTGCTGAGATCAAGTTTGAGCCAAAACCAAGAGTTGGACACTTAACTGGCTGAGCCACCCAGGTACCCCTGGAATTTTGATACTTGAGGATTGATGGGGGTAGCCCAGCTGCTTTGAGAACACATAGGGAAGTCAGCGTAAGGATCAGGGGAACCTTCCTGGGGAGGCAGTTTCTGAGCTGGGAATTGAAAGATAAGAGGGCTTAGCTAAGCAAAGTGGGCTTGAGAGGGCATTTGAGGCAAGGGAACAGAGTGAGTGTAGAATTTTGTAGCTGGAACAGGAAGTGGGTAGGGGATGAGGTTAGAGGAATAAGTGCAGGTCAGGTTATGAAAGAAGGAAGGATTATAAAAGAAGGGCAGTGGGGAAACCACTGAAGGGTTTGAAGCCCGGGGTGAGTGGGAGATATCTCAATCACATTTATAGTATAGAGAGATCCCATAAGTTAAGAATTGACCCTCCTTACCTATCTCGTGCGCTTGTTAGTAAATCAGAGCACTGGAACCGGTGGGTGGCAAATAAGGAATCTTGATGGATTTGAAGATGGAAGGTCTGACCCAATAACATAAGGGTTCCTTTTGATAATCTGTAGGGAAGATTTTTCGGTTTTGACTTGATCTTTCTGTCTTTAAAACCCCCTGACAACATTTCCTAAAATTCTCTCAAAACTGAAGCCTGAGTAGGGAGGAGAGTGGGGGTTGCATGACTTTGTTCTATCTCTTCTGCACTACTCATTTCCGGGGCATTGCTGTGAATTGCTCATCCAAAGCCTTGCTCCCTATGAGGAGGGGACCATTTGAATAGCAGCAGGGGAGTAGGGGAAGGAGGAACCACACGCCGGGTTCGTTCATTAAGAAAATATATTTGGCATATTCAGACAATGGTTTGAGGGAGTTAAAAATAACTCCTCGTGAAAAATTAATAGGGAGTTATAAGTGAGTGTTTTAATACAAGCTCACAGAGCAGGGCAGATTCTCCAGGTGGCTGGCAGCTGACATCACAGATGGTATAGGGTGTTTATAGAGCATGGTGTGGCCAGCGAGGAGCGTTGTCTACAGAAGTGAGCTCTCCTTTTCTCCTGGAACCTAGAGAAGGAGGAGACAGAAGGAATTGTTTTGGTTGTGAGCAACTGAGCTAGGTGACATTTCTTTTCTCCCTGCCCATCACACTCTCATAACTGTGGACATAAAAATTGTAGTGAATTTTGCCTGGTTGCTTTGGGTGAAGTTTATTGAACGTCTGAATTCATAAAATGGCCTTTCTGGCTCTTCTCCCTTCTTAGTCACGGACCCTGGGCTGACGGCTGCACCCATTTTTCCTGTGCTTCCATCCCCAACAGCCTGTTCCTCCCATTCTGGCAGATAGTTAGGAAGGCCCTGCCCCTTCCTCCCTCTTTCTCTCATCTCACAGTGCCCTGTGGGCCTATGTGGGTAAGGTGAAGTGTTGGACTGTACTTTCTTGGCCATCAGCACAGCTAAACGGATAATGCAAAACAAGGAGGGGCCAAAATGCCATCTGACCTTGGCTAGCTGATTTGGGGGTAAGGGTTTTAAGACTGGGGGACCAATTTTTGTATTTTAAACTCAGATGATATTTAAAAAATGGGTCTGTAATTGCAACGAGGCCCTCTAGGCCGTGAATTAATGTGTCATAACTCACGCCCAAGCACTGCGCAAACATCCCGCGTGTGAATTATTGCACAATAAATTCATGCCCTGTTGTGTCTTACAGCTTAATTAGTACATGAAGCTACATGAGTTAGACGAACCCAAATGGGATTATGTCATGTGGTGCGTAAAAAAGCAGAATGTTGGGAGGTATTTGGCACTTTTTCGGGGGGGAAAGCAGAGCTGATTTTTTCTGTAATGTCCTTTGGTGTCCGTTTCTGTGATATTTGGGCTGCAACAGGTGACATGCGACTCCTAAGCTTTGGTTGGTGGGTTGAATATGGGTTCAGTAAATATTTATTGTTCACTGTGTCTTAGGCATCCTGGAGGGAGAGCACACGTAAGATGAAATACAAAGCAGCAGCTCTGAAGCCTGAGCACCTGAACTTGGCAGCCCCAACCCAGCTTGGCTTAACTCAGCCTCACTGAACCCAGTTGGAGACTCTGGGCTCCCTGCACTTGCTACAGTGCTCTGATCCTAGACTCCTCTTCGGTTTCATCTAGAATGCTGTGCAAGGCACTTTGCAGGTTTGGTAAAAAGCTGGTACGTAGACATACACTGGCGCAATACGTGGCTAAGATTTCTCCTGCCGGAAGACTGAGCACTCTGGATATAGTGTCCCTGGGTGTGGGCAACACAGTGGGTGCAGGTTTGTATGTCCTGGCTGATGAGGTGGCGAGTGAAATAGCAGGACCATCCATTGTGATCTGCTTTTTGGTGGCCGCCCTGTCTTCTGTGCTATGCAGAGTTTAGTGCCCAGGTTCCCCAGTCTGCTTCTGCGTATCTCTACAGCTATGTCACTGTGGGTGAACTCTGGGCTTTCATCACTGGCTGGAACCTTATCCTGTCTTGTGTTACTGGTATGGCCAGTATGGCCCGGGCCTGGAGTTTAGCTTTTGATGGCCTGATTGGGAACTGGATCTCTTGGACCTTGAGTGAGAGGATCTCACTGTATGTTCCCTATGTCCTTACAGAATATCCAGACTTCTTTGCTGTGGGCCTGGTGGTGTTGCTCACCGGATTGCTGGCTCTGAGGGCTAGTGAGTTTGTCCTGGTTACTATGGTGTTCACAGTGGTGAATCTTTTGGTTCTTGGTTTTGTCATCATCTCTGGGTTCATTAAGGGGAACCTGCACAACTGGAAGCTCACAGAAGAGGACTACATAATGACCATGTCTAGACTCAATGACACTTCTAGCTTGGGTCCTCTGGGCTCTGGAGGGTTTGTGCCTTTTGGCTTTGAGGGAATTCTCTGTGGAACAGCTACCTGTTTCTATGCATTTACTGGTTTTGACAGCATTATTACTGCTGCCGAAGAAGCCCAGAATCTAAAGCGTTCTGTCCCCATGGGCATTGTGATTTCAGTGTTCATCTGCTTTTTGGTGTATTTTGGTGTCTCTGCGGCACTTACGCTCATGGTGCCTTACTACCAGCTTCAACCTGGGAGCCCCTTGCCTCAGGCATTTCTCCATATTGGCTGGGCCCCTGCCTGCTATGTTGTGGCTGTTGGAGCCCTCTGTGCTCTTTCTACCGGCATCTTGGATTCTATGTTCCTCATTCGTTGGATGATCTATGTGATGGCATACGATGGCCTCCTGTTCGGTGTCCTTGCCAGGCTGTACACCAGGACAGACCTCCCCATCATGGCCACTGTGGCCTCGGGCATTATCACAGCTTTTGTGACATTCTTCTTTGGACTCACCGCTCTTGTGGAACTCATGTCGATTGGGACCCTGCTTACATACTCCCTGGTGGCTATTTGTGTTCTCATCGTCAGGTATCAGCCTGAAATGAAGGATGAAGATGATGCAGCAGGGGCGCAGCGGAACAGCAGACCTGTGCTGGAGAAGCTGACCATGTGGGGACTCTTTTATCCAGGCAGCCCCACCCCCACCGCATTCTCTGGCCTGGTTGTCTACGTTTGCTCCTCACTGCTTGCCCTGCTGCTGACTCTTCTTGGCCTGGCGCTGGCTCAGTGGCCAGTTCTGCTGCTTTCCGGAGATGCAGTACTGATTATAGTGGTTGTGCTGCTCCTGGTGCTCATCACTGGGATCACTGGGGTCATCTGGAGACAGCCACAGAGCTCTACTCCCCTTTACTTGAAGGTCCCTGCTCTGCCTCTCCTCTCACTCCTGAGCATCTTTATGAATGTTTACCTTATGATGCAGATGGCAGCTGGCACCTGGATCCGATTTGGTGTCTGGATGCTGATTGGGTTGGCTATCTACTTTGGCTATGGGATCCAGCACGCACGCAGGATTAAACCCACTTCAGTCAGGGCACAAACGGACGACCTTGAACTCAACAGTGCCAGTACAAGTTCGATTTGATGTCACATCTGAATGCTGTCTGGTCTCCCTGCACAATGGTGGAGAGTACTCTTGAGCACACGGAAAGCTAGGCCTCCCATGGGATGTTGGTGGGGAAACACTAATAGAGCTCTGTGCTTATTGTGGAGTGAAGGATGTGTCTTTGCTCTTTCTTATATATTTTTTAACTTGTTTACTTTTCAATTGTGTCTGCTTACTGGCTTTAAAAAATTATTATTTTTTAAAAAAGATTTTATTTATTTATTTGACAGAGAGAGGCACAGCGAGAGAGGGAACACAAGCAGGGGGAGTGGGAGAGGGAGAAGCAGTCTTCCCGCCGAGCAGGGAGCCTGATGTGGGGCTCGATCCCAGGACCCTGGGATTATGACCTGAGCTGAAGGCAGATGCTTAACGACTGAGCCACACAGGTGCCCCTTAAAAATTATTATTAAAAGAAACTAGAAAGAGTTTTTGTTTTTGTTTTTGTTTTGTTTGGGTAAATGCCCACTAGTGGAATTACTGGATCTATGGTAATTCTATTTTTATTTTATGAGGAACCTCCATACTAGCTCTATAGTTGTTGTACCAACAGCCACCAACATTGTATGATGGTTCATTTTTCTTCTCATCCTTACCAATACTTGTTATTTCTTGTCTTTTTGATTTTAGCCATTCTGACAGGTATAAAGTGCTAACTCATTTTAGTTTTAAATTGCATTTCCCTGATGATGAATGATGCTGAACATCTTTCATGTTTCTGTTTGCCATCTGTATCTCTTCTTTGGAGAAATATCTTTTCAGGTCCTCTGCCCATTTTTAAATTGGATTGTTTGTTTTTTGGTATTGAGTTCTATAAATTCTTCATGTATTTGGACATTGGACATTAACCCCTTATTGGATATATCATTTGTAAGTATCTTCTCCCATTCAGTGGGTTGCCTTTTTGTTCTGTTCATGGTTTCCTTTGCCATGTAAAAGCTTTTCATTTTCACTAACTTGAAAGGATGTATGCAACCCTATGTTTATTGCAGCATTATTGGCAATAGCCGGGGTATGGAAACAACCCAAGTGTCCATCAACAGACGAATGGATGAAGAAGATGTGGTACATATACAAAATGAAATATGACTCAGCCATAAAAAAGAATGAAATCTTGCCACTTGTAACAACATGGGTGGACTTAGAGGGTATAATGTTAAGTGACATAAGTCAGTCAGAGAAAGACAAATACCATATGATTTCTACTCATATGTGGAATTTGAGAAATAGAACAAATGAAATAGAAAAAATAAAATAAAAAAAGAGACAAAAAAAAAAATACCCCTCCTAGACTCTTAAACAGAAGGAACAAACTGGTGGTTACCAAAGGTAAGGTGGGTGGGAGGAAGGGTGAAATAGATAAAGGGAATTAAGAGAGCACTGATCTTGATGAACACTGAGTACTATATAGAATTGTTGAATCATTATGTTGTACACCTGAAACAAATATGATAACACTGTATGTTAATTACACTTCACTAAAAAATGTACTAGAAACAGACCAAAAAAAAAGCTGGAATATAGTCCCTGCCCTTAAGGAACTTATATTTTGTTTTTATTTATTTTTTTAAGGAGTTTATATTCTGTTTTTTTAAAAAATTTTATTTATTCATTTGACAGACAGAGATCACAAGTAGGCAGAGAGGCAGGCAGAGAGAGAGGGGGAAGCAGGCTCCCTGCTGAGCAGACCCAAAGCAGGGCTCATCCTAGGACCCTGAGATCATGACCTGAGCCAAAGGCAGAGGCCTCAACCCACTGAGCCACCCAAGCACCCCCTGTTTTTTTTTTTTTTTTTTAATAATCGATTTTATTTTTAAGTAATCTTTACATCCAATGTGGGGCTTGAACTCACAAGATCAAAAGTCACATGCTCTACCAACATAGCCAGTCAGGCTGCCCTAGGAGCTTATATTCCACTACAGTGGATAAAGCAGAGCTGCCACGCAAGGTCGAAAGTGTTGTCATAAGAAATATTCAAAGAAAGTGTCTAGGAAATTCAGATCGGAGGATGATCATTTGTGGCTGGCACAGTGGTGAGGGTTGGGTGGTGAAACCAGAGAAGACTTTGTAGAGGAATGATATTTGAGTGGCAAGGAGAGATTATAGGCAGAGAGAGCAACACTAGGAAAAGGACAGGAAAACGAGGCAGTATTCAGAGCTCACTGAGGCTCGGCTGTGTGAGGGGGCAACAGAGCATGCGCAGTTGCATTGGAGCCAGAGTTTCCCCGGGAGCACAAAGCACTTTGGCTTTGAACCCACCACCCATGCTGAAAATCCCTGGGGTTGGTTCTCCTACTTGGTGATATCTGTATTCCTGGACTTGGAAAGTTTCTCTACTACTGTCTGCTTTAGTCCAGCTGCTTAGAAAGTGCACAGCTGAGAGCCAGGTGTCCCGGGTGTAAGTCTTGTTTCTACCACTAACTAGTAATGTGACTTTGAGCAAGCCACTCAGTTCCTTCAGCGCTCTGCTTATTTATCTGTAACAGGAGCGGTCAGAACGGATCATTTCTCAAGTTCTGTTTAGTTAAAAAAATTTAAGAATTTCCTCTTTTTTTTTTTGTCCTGTTATTCTCTTAACTGGGTCTCCCTGCTGCATGAAATCTGAACCTGTATCCCGCCCACTTTTCTCTGTAACCCATTGTTGGAGCTGTAGCGGTACAATAAATGACAACGCATTTCCCTCCTATGTTTGGAACCAATTGATAATCAAGACATACTGATAAACAAGACATACAGACATATGGTTAAACCATCCGCTTTAGAGTTGCAGCCTAGTTGGCTGGCGAATACCGTGTGGCTAAATTAGAAAGACTTACTCCTCATCACAAGGAGAGCAGCCCCTTCCTCTTACCACAGGAGAGAGCCTGCTTTTATTAGATTTTTTCATGTGTGAGCAGGTTGAATGCATGTGTCCTGTGGGCAGGTTGGTTTTGGATAAAAAAACAGAAACCAACAAAAAACTGGAAGAGGCTGAGCTGGGCATGCTCAGAGCTGTCTCTCCAATTCACTGATCAAAGTCATAGTGGGAGAGCGAGGCTTGTGAGCAGCCAGGAATAGTACTGCTCGCTGGTGCTCAAACTTCATGGGGTGTCACCTCACCTGGAGGGCTTGTGAAAACAGCTTGATGGTCCCCCGCTCCAGCATTTGGAATTCAGTTGGTCTGGGTGGGGCCCAGGAACTTCTAACGAGTTCCCAGGTGATGTTGATGCTGCTGGTCCAGGGACCACACTTTGAAAACTGAAGCTCCATCTGAAAGCCTGTCCCCATGTAAAGACATCCCTTTGACACTTACCCTCATTTAATGAAACATTCAGATTAAAATACCATTGTTAATCCTTTCACAGTGGGGAAGTTGTAGTGAATCATTTCACAGTGTGTGTACATATGAAATCACCACAACATATCTTTATTTCATAATTTTATATGTCAATTTTAATATCTTATAATTTTAAATATCTTATATCTTATAATTTTAAATATCTTATAATTTTAAATATCTTATAATTTTATGTCAATTATGCTCCCTCACTAAAGCCAAAATAAAAAAAAATAAAATACAACAGTTATCTTTATTTATTTTGTTCCCTAGATTGTAGATCATAGGTTAAGGAGTGTATCTTGTTCACACCTCCAGAACATATACCTGGGGGCCCAGGCACAAAATGAGCATTCAATAAATTCATATTAAATTGAATTGAACCTTACACATGTCTTTGGTACAGAAAATTCTCCTTCCTTTCAGGCTAGTACTGTGCTGTTCCTTTCAAACTATCTTCTAGGAAAGTCTCCTTGCCAAATGGCATTTCTGTCCATCCAGAACTATACCTAGAACTGTATCTAGATCTATGCCCAGCATCTAGAACTGTACCAGGCACTTCTAATTTTGCCCTTGTTTGGCTATGCCTGAGTTCTGGTGATTGTCCTGTCCTGTCTGTTCCATCACAGTGGAATCTTGCTCAGGGCAAGGGGGAGGTACTCTCCTTCTTCTAGACCCAGCAGTAAGAACAGTGCTGTTCATTCAAAGAGCAGCAGGGAAAATACAGCCCTGGGGCAGGAGAATGCCTGAAAGGACCTCCTCTGGTCCCTCTCCATCTATTCCCATGGGATTTGGGGGAGGGGGAGGAAGTAGCAAAATTGATAGAAGGCCCAACCCATTCTACCTGACTCCACGGAATCCTTGAAGTCTAGACTGGCTCCAGCGTGGGCACAACAGGCATCTTTCTTGAAGCAGAGTTCTGTGCTGTGGCATAGACAGGCCAGTGTTTTTCTATTGTATTTATGTGTGGGGCCTGCCCTGGGAGGGAGGGATAGGAAGCTACTTCTTATTTGCAGAATTTCTCATATTCCCAATAGGGAGCAAGTGACTCCAGGGGAGCCTGCTAGGATTGCCTGTATATTTACCAATTCCTTTAGATGCTGTTTTGAGAGACTGGTGCAAAAACCTTGTGAGAGTATCTAAGATTCTTTGGAGAGAGAGATTTTACACCCTAAATGGGTGAAAAAATGGACTGGAATAGGAAGGATTAGGAACTGGATAAGGATGGAGGCCTCATTCCTTTGGAAGGGAAGGTCTGAGTAGAAACTGAGAGAGAAGTATTGGTCAAGAGACACTTCCTGGAGGAAGATGCCTATGGAGCAATTTGGGAAATAAGAGAGGGATAGGTGAGTTACAAAAGAAATGGGACAGTAATTCTAGGCTACACGGACCTTAAAGAGTCATGAAAGAATGAAACTGTTGTGAGGAATGTGTTTTTTCACATTTGAAGGGAATTTATGAGCCAAGTTTGTATTGTGTATTGTGCCATGGAGGGAGATTTCTGAATCAGGAAGGAATGAGATACGATTCTCTTTGCCATCTGGTGGATAGACAGAGAGAAGGATATGGATAGACAGATTTCTTGGGAGACAGTTGTAGAAACTACTACAGTCATCTAGAGCTTTGCTTTTCACAGTATGGTCTGTGGACCACCAGTATGAGTGTT